AAATTATGCTTTGTGAGCTGCCGGCATTAAAGTTGTGAGCGGGCAATTTGGCTGCTGCATAAGTTAGTCTGCTCTGGAGCCGTCCCTTCCTGAGCTGAGACAAAAAGGTGTGAGCCGGAGGCTAAAAAACTGTGAGGTAGCTCACACTAACTCAGCTTAGAGGGAACACTGGTTGCCATCTCTGCATTGGGAAATACCTGGAGATCTTAGAGGATGAACCTGAGGATGGTGGGGTTTGGGAAGGGAGATGTTGGGGGTGGAGCCTGAGGACGGTGTGATTTGAGGAGGGGAGGGGCTTCCATGGGATAGAATGCCACAGAGTCCACCTTCCAAAGTGGCCATTTTCTCCAGGTGAACTGATCCCTATCACCTGGAGATCAGTTCCGACAGTGGGAGATCTCCAGCTACCACCTGGAGGGTGGCATGTCTAGTGTCACTTCATCAGATGAAAGGAGCGTTGACTCTCGAAAGCTTATACCTTCAAAATCTTGTTGATCTCTTAGGTGTGACTGGACCAGTGTTCCCTCTAAGCTGAGTTAGTGTGAGCTAGCTCACAATTTTTTAGCCTCCGGCTCACACATTTTTGTCCCAGCTCAGGAAGGATGGCTCCAGAGCAAACTAATTTATGCAGTACCCAAAGTGCTCATTCACAACTTTAATGCCAGTAGCTCACAAAGTAGAATTTTTGTTCACAAGGCTCCACAGCTTAGAGGGAACATTGGACTGGACTCCTATCTAACTGGGGGGGGTTTGTCTTGGACTCAATGGCTGTTGGCCGTGTGGAACAAAAACTGCACTGAGAACTAGGGTTGCCAACTCTGGGTTGGGAAATACCTGGAGATTTGGGAGTGAAGCCTGGGAAGGGTGGGGTTTGGGGAGTGGTGGAACCCCAGGATGGTATAACGCCATAGAGTCCACCACCAAAGCAGCCATGTTCTCTAAGAGGAACTGATCTCTATCACCTGGAGATTAATTCTGATTCTGGGAGGTCTGCAGGCCCCACCTGGAGGTTGGCAACCTTACTGAGAGCAACAAAGTCCCTCTTGTTTTCCTGAAGGCATACTTAGGCCTTTCCACGCCTCCGAGTTGTAGTACCACTACCAAAGAAACACTTTGCTTCTGAAACAGGCCATGGCTCTGCACCGGAGAAAATTGGGAGAGTCCATGTAGCGTTTGTGAATCCTTTGTGGATTCATGTTTGCGTAGCGTAACATGGCTGTAGCGTTTGTGAAGCACTGTGGGCGTTGGACAAACGCTAGCGTGCAAACCTGAGGAAAATCTCAGGAGAAAGAGGAAGACGTAATGGTAAAGCAGTGTGATTTTGGAGCGAGAGCGAAAGTAAATTGGCTGGCGGTGGGGGGGCAGGAATTCCTTCCTCTTATGTGGAGAATCGTTGCAGGAGGGGACCTCTGGTATACTTCAGAGCCATGGGAAGATTTTACCGGAAGGCGGCTGGGAACCGGTCTTTGGAGGGATTCCTGAACGAGCAGAAACGGTGCCAAATCAATTTCCGCAGAGCTACAGATTTTTGGGAGGGGGGGGGAAAGGTAACTTTGCTCATATATAAATTTCCGCCACGGCCAGCTGCCATGGTTTGCTCTGAAATTTGAATCTGCCAAAAATCCGTGGGGGGGGGGAGAGGGGAAGCATCCTAACATTATTCTTTCACCTTTCATTAACTGGCTTGCTCTGACTTCAGGTCATGCTACCATCGGCAAAATTGTGAGGAAAAGCTGCTGTTGGATTGGATCTTTTTCAAAGTACGGGTGTGTGTGTGTGTGCATATTGGAATATTCATTTATAGGTGGGAAAGGATGCCCCCGCCCACAGAAAACCAGAGTGGCAGGGAGAAAATTGGTGGAACCCTTTCCCTTCACAGGCTAGCATTTTTATTTTTATTTATTTTTTGTGCAAGGAGGGTTTTCGGCAAAGGAGCATTCAAAGATGCAAGCCTACACTTGTATGTGGGATTGTGTAGTTCAGGAAATGTAGTTATTTATTTACTTCATTTTTACCCAGCTTTTCTCCTTTATCCTCACTGCAACCCTGTGAGGTAGGCGAGGCTGAGAGTGAATGGCTGGCCCAAGGTCTCCGAGCAAGCTTCCATGCCAGAGCAGGGATTCGAACCTGTCTCTCCCAGGTCCAGTTTGGTGTAGTGGTTAAGAGTGCAGGCTCTAATCTGGGAGAACTAGGTTTGATTCCCCACTCCTCCACATGTAGCTGCTGGTGTGACCTTGGGTCGGTCACAAGTTCTCTTGGAGCTGTTCTCTCAAGGTAATTTCTGAAAAGAGCTCTCTCAGCCCCACCTACCTCTCAGGGTGTCTGTTGTGGGGAGGAGAAGGGAAAGGAGATTGTAAGCCGCTCTGAGACTCCTTCGGGTAGTGAAGGGTGGGGTATAAATCCAACCTCCTCATCTGGCACTCTGACGACTGCATCAAGAAAACCTGTGCAGCATAGTGATTAGGCAAGAACGAGACCAGGATTCGAATATCCTGTCAGCCATGAAGTTCACTGGGTGACCTTGGACCTGTCACTATTACTTAGCCTCACCTACCTCACAGGGTTGTTGTGAAGACAAAAGGAGAGGGAGAACCAAGTATGCCCCCCTGAACTCTTTGGAAGAAGGGCAGGACTAAAACAAAGAAACAAACAAAACAATGTTAACTGTTCCATAGATTTAATTCCCAGATTTGAGTCTCCTGATGACTTACAACAGGAGTCCCCAACATATGGGCCGGCACCTTTCCCAGCAAGACTTCTGAGTGGCCACTGGAGATTTCATTGGCTGAGAAGATTTTAACATGTGTTGCTTTGGCAGCAGCTGCCACCACGGCACAAGGACCTTCACTGTGTGACTGAAGGTAAGCCGCGGCAGCCATTTTGTGGCAGGTCCACCTCCTGGGGCAGCCATTTTGTTGCTGTGCCAGAATTCCAAAGGTGCCCATAGGCTCAAAAAGGTTGTGGACACCTGACTATATATAAACAGTTGGGTCTAAACGGTTGGGTCTAAACCTCCTCCCCCACCCAGGTTCCCAAACTGAATCACAAAACAGCTGCAAAATACAGAGTGAAGACCAAAACCACCTGCTAAGTCTTCTTTCCACTATGAACCCGGACAAGATTGTCACTCATTGTCCTGTCAGTGGTCAGCTCTTTGTTTATACTGTACATATGCAGCCAAGAGAGTTCCCTCTCACTCTGCGACAGGAGAAGGGCGAGAGAAGGGCAGGGGTTAACAAGCAAGCTGGCCAGAAGATCCCCTTTGGCGACGTCACTGTCTTTTCGGTACGCCCACCGCTCCTTTCGACTCGCCACCAAAGCGTCGTCCTCCGGCCGGGTTTCTCCCCCACTATGCAGCCACGACCCGCTTTTGTCCTACTGTTCCGATGCAGACACTTCCCTCTCTCTCTTTTAAATGTACTGTAACCAAAGTTTGACTGATCGGTGGTGTTCGTGCTGTAGCCTCTGCGGATGTTTGGACACGGGAAACGTGTAAAAAGAAACGGATCTATGCAATGGTTTTCTTGCTGTACTCTGTAAAGAAACTGT